TGACCCGAACCAATCAAATCACGGAGATGAAATCTCATATCCAATGAAGAAAGTCGGAGGTGTTTCTTTTCCAAAGTAGCCAACATCATCTCCTTATATTTTCTGCGGCTGAGAAATAACAGAAGCTCATTTCTTCCATGTGAGAGACCCTTGAGTATCAAACCAATATTTGGAAGAGCGAACTAGTACATGTTTGAATCAATAAGTTGGTGAGTCAGAAGACCAGCATTAATCAAGAGAAAGATGTACTCGTCTTTCACCGCTCCTCCTAATGATTACATTAAACAAAGTTCTAGGTGTCCAATACAGCACGTTCAATACATAAACAAAGACATGACCATGAGGGGTGGATTCCTCTTCTTCGGTGATCTATTTTTGATGCAGTAGATTATTTATTTATCTTTATTGGATTTCTGGGTACTGTGACCTTGATTATTTGGGAGCTTTCTAGACCTTCTTTATCTGTCGCTACTGTTCAACTGGAGATATATTTTTTTTCCTTATTTTGTCTTTTTATTTATCTTAGAGTTATTTTTATGTCACGAGTGCCCTAGTATTATTGATGATATGACTATTACTGAGGGAGTTGAGACTCCTACCGTTGAGACATCTGTTAATACTTCCACCGGGTATATAGGGGTCGATAGCGCTTGGCCAGCGTCGTTAGGGTACCCCACATCAGCGTAGATATGGGGATTCTCGTCCGTGTGGTTATTGTAGCCGACTAGGACATCTCAGGGCTACTTGTTGGAAGCTCTATCCGGAGCTTAAGTTGCCTTCTCGCAGTCGTACAACTGCCATTGCTAAGGCACCACCACCTACAGTCATTGCTCCTGCTAGTACTCTTCCTTGGCAGTGATATGGATGCTATCACTTCTCTCTTGGATATACTTATGTCAGCCTTGACTTCTCGAGGTTCGACTACTACTGCTGCGACTACTATAGGTATACCTTGTGCCTTTCATACTTGCGTCAGTCTGTCTCCCCTTTAGATGCTAGACTCGGGTGGTAATGATCAATTGACAGGTGAGTCCCATCATTTCACCTCTTTTGACGAGCAGATATATCTACTAAAGTTCAGTTAGCTGATGGTACACATGCCCCTATTATTAGTAGGGGTACAGTTTGCCTCCAAGACGACTTTACATTACGTTCGGTGTTTCATGGGCCAAAGCTGGCCATGAATCTATTATCTATACTTCAGTTAGCAAGAGATTTTTATGGTGCAGTTGTGTTCTTATCTGATTCATGTTATTTGCAGGACCTGAGTACTAGGAGGATTATTATCGGGGGACATGAGAGAGATGGACTGTATTATTTAGGCGATCCACCTCCAGTTTCTCCACCTCTACCTCCATCACCTACATTGTCTTTATCTGTTCCTAGCTTGCATGCTAGTATTTTACCTAATACTTGTTATGATTTTTTATCACAAATTGTTCAGTTATGGCATGACCGTTTTGGGTAGACAAATTTTAAATATTTATGTATGTTATTTCCTACTTTGAGCAAAGCTTGTGTTAGTGGTAAACTTGACTGTGTTATATGTTCCCTATCAAAACATGTTCGGACCAATTATATTTCTCGCATGCACCAGTCACCCAAACCATTTGACCTAATACACTCTGATATTTGGGGATCCTCTCCTGTTATTGCTCTGTCAGGTGTCCGATATTGTGACATTTATAGATGACCATACCCGTTGTATTTGGGTCTACCTTTTGTATAGGAAGTCTGATGTATTCCGTATAATCACTCAGTTTCTACAGATGATTAAGACACAATTCGATGTTATTGTTCGTGCTCTTCGTTTGGATAATGCCAAAGAATATGTGTCTGATGCCTTAGTGTCTCACCTTTCTTCTCAGGGTATTCTTCAGTAACTCACTTGTTCATATACTCTTGAGCAAAATGGCGTTGCTGAAAGAAAAAATAGGAGTCTGATATAGATGTTACGTTGTATGCTTAGAGGCATGGAGGTGCCAAAATTTTTTTGGCATTTTGTTGTTTTGACTTCTACCTTTTTGTGCAATCGTACGCCGAGTCGTGTTCTTCAGCATAGGGCTCCTTTACAGGTCTTATTTCCTGAGCAAACACTTTTTTGGTCCCTCCTCGTGTTTTTGGATGCACATGTTTTGTTTAGGATCGGTCTCTTACTCATCATAAGCTTGATGATAAAGCAATTCGTTGTGTCTTTGTGGGCTATTGTCATCAGTCTAAGGGGTATCGTTGTTATAATTCTATTAGACGTCGTATGTATCACAGTCTTGATGTTACCTTTCTTGAGCATATTCCTTATTTTTCTTTCAGTCTTTTGTCTGCCCCTCCAGTTGATGATACTCCCTTTGATTTTACATTACCCCCGGAGCCAGCGTCATTGGTCACTATCACTACAGAGTCATCGGTCTCTCCTCCTCTAGAGCTACTTATCCCTGTCAGTACAGAGTCACCAGTCTCTCTTCTTTTGCAGGTTTATGTTCGTCGCCCTCGCTCTCATCCCCTTGTTGATGTCCTCTCTACCTCGGGCGATGCAGGTAATACTTCTCAATTCGTTGAATATATTGATGCATTTGTTGTTAGTACTGATAAGATTGTAGGTACTGAGCCAGTTGTATTACTTGATGATACAGTGTTAGTGGAGGATGATGATTTAGGGCGTCGTTATTTGCGGCGTGAGCGTAGTCCAGTTGTTCATTATGGTTGGACTGTCAGGATTTTATACCTGATTTCTGCTTATGTTTTTTATGGTGATCTGTCTCCTACATTTCGGGTTTATAGTATGGCCTTATTAGATATGCCGGTTCCTCGCTCTGTTTTAGAGGCTATGCGGAAACGCCAGTGGGTTCTTGCCATGCAGACTGAGATGGACGCTCTTCAGCGTAATCATACGTGGAATCTTGTCTCTTTACCTTCAAGGGTGAAGCCTGTTGGCTGTCGCTGAGTTTACACCCTAAAATTTCTTGCAGAAGGTACTATTGATCGTCACAAGGCTAGGCTTGTGGCGAAGAGCTTTACTCAGGTACCAGGCCGTGATTTTGGTACTACCTTTGCCCCCGTGGCAAAATTGACTACTGTTTAACTGATTATTTCTCTGGTTACGGAGTACTTTTGGCCTTTTCATCAGTTGGATGTGAAGAATGTATTTCTTCACGGTGATCTGGATGAGATTATTTATATGGATGCATCATCGGACTTTCGTGGTGAGAGAGAGTATGCTGAAAAGGTATGTCGATTACGTAAGTCTTTTTATGGACTGAAACAGTCACCACGAGCCTAATTCTCTCACTTTACTGATGTAGTTGTACGTTTAGAATTCACCAGATGTCATTCTGATCATGCCTGCTTTATTCGACAGAATACTTCTGGACAGTGTGTCATCCTTTTGGTATATGTTGATAATATTATTATTACTGGAGATGATATTTTTGGGACTGCGCAGGTCAAGATAGACCTTGGGAAGGCCTTCGATGTGAAGGACCTTGAATTTTTGCGATACTTTCTTAGGATTGAGGTTGTCCGTAGCAGCAGAGGTATTGTTCTTTCTCAGAGAAAGTATATTCTGGATCTTCTCTCAAACACTAGGATTCTGGGGTGCAAATCAACATCATCACTCATGATTCTAAACCAGAAGCTTACTGAGTTGAGAGATCCGACTGTCTATCAGAGGTTGGTAAGTAAACCTATCTACTTAGCCAACACTAGGCCAGATATTTTATTCGTTGTCAGCCGAGTTAGTTAGTTCATGCACAGACCATGTCAACCTCATCTTGATGCAGTTTATCATATTTTTCAGTACCTCAAGTCTTGTCCTGAACTTGGGTTGTTCTATGCATTAGGATCTCAGATTGGTTCTTTAGCCTGTTATTCAGATTCATATTATAGAGGAGCATGTGATGGTCGATCTATTACAGGCTTCTATGCTTTTCGAGGGACTCATCTTATCTCTTGAAAGAGTAAGAAGCAGTTAGTTGTCTCTCGCTCGTCAGCAGAGGCAGAGTATCGGGCACTGACACTTGACAGATGTGAGATTATCTAGTTACGATCAATTCTTGGCGAGTTGGGATTTCCAGTGACTTCTTCATCTATATTATATTGTGATAATCGATCTGTTATTCAACTTGCTTCTGATTCTGTATTACACGAGAGGACGAAGCATATAGAGATCGATGTTCACTTTCTTCGGAAGAAGGTTAGCAGTGGTATTGTCACTCCATCATTTGTGGGGACCAGTGATCAGGTTGCAAATGGTTTTACCAAACCTGTCACTCTATCCATTCTTCGGGACTCCTTTGTCAAGCTTGACTTAGTTGATATTTTTGCGCCTAACTTGAGGGAGAGTGTTGAAGATATAGCAGCAGCCTAGTTTATTAGGGTTTATTAAGTTTCTTTTTTTACCTTTTTATCCTTATTATAACTTTCATTGGCTATATATACGGGGACTCTATACTTAGTTTGTATCCCTTTTCACTCACGTTTATGTCAAGTGGATCAACAGTTTTAAGCCTTGAATGTAATACAAAATCTAACAATAAATCTAAGTGAAACATCGACTGATATTGAACAAAGTTTTGGTGGAAGTGACTGAAGAATAGGAAAATTGTCTAGAAGGGTTAAGCACAGGCCTACAGCATACTTATTCTTTTGCCCCCTTGCTCTGTTTAAGAAATAGCCAACACTTGCTCTGTTTGAGTTTCTGTTGTGTTAATTTCAAAGTAAAATCTGTTGACAAAGTGGCAAAATTAAGTCATTATCAGGAGTGTGCTACATGAGGAGACATATGTGACAGAACATTGAGTGAAATTGAGGGTTACATGAACTGGAGAGGAGCCAAACCCCCACCCAATTTACCTCTGTCAGCAACCTGCATTTTGGGGAAGAACACTGGGAAAAGGCCTATATATATATGCGTGTGTTCATGCGCATGGAGTTATAATGCTTACATCGCAAGCCAGAGCTGTTGATTGGATGCTAACACTTGAGAATAAGAAAACGCTGAAGAAATGTCCAGTGAGACACTAATAATTCTTTGGGAAGACTCTGGTGAGCATGTGTGTATAATATGTCAGCGCTTCAAAAGAGTTGAACTGGCCATAGCATGGCATATTTCTTATAAAAATGATTTAACGACATCTGGTGATCATGTGTGTTTAAAACAACAGACCTTCTAAGAGTTGCACCGACCATGAGTACAATTTTTACAAAATGATATATTCACTGCAGCATGTGTAAATCTTTTCCTTTTACAAACATAATGGTATCTTATTTTGAGATCTATTTGCTCTACTTTCCTTTTTTTACCGTGGCCATTCGGAGAACACACAGACACGTATAATTCCATGTGTACATATTTATGTACTTATGTGTATACTTGTGTGCATATATTTGAATGTATGTACATACACATATGGTTTTTGATGAAGTAATGCTAACAATATTGCAGTGCTAATGTTGGAGATACCATCCACTGTCTGTCAGCAGCAAAGAAGAATGAGATCCAATACTTGATGGATATGTTGAAAAGGGTGAGGANATCTCATCTGGACCTAATCTCTTGCCATTGTAAGATTAAAAAAGTGTATTCTCATATGTTAAGCATAACCAAAAACATGCATCTTAGTTTTCAGGCGGGGGGTTGGGACAAGACGCTGTTGAGTTGAGTTTTCTAGTAGGGTAGCTTTGTGTATCAATTCTTTGTAGGAAGTGTTAATGTTATACATCACTGTAGGTCCAATAGTTTTGATGTATGGAAAGAGTTGTATGGTGGTCAAAATAAGTCATTTTTGTTTATTTAATCAAGATAGAGCTGTGGGAAACTTGTGTCTATGACTCTGTGGAAGTAGGGAGCAGCTGATACAGAGAATCATGGAGGATGAGAGTTGCGCTTCTAATGTAGTAGAGATTTTCTGTTCAAATTCAGGATGATTAGGAATTTGTTTGGAGCATTGTATGCCAACAATTTTTTTTCAACGACATTCACCTTCAGCACATGCTTAATTAATTCAGCCATTGCTTTTGAGCTGTTCCACTTGATTACCTCCTGTTGCCTCACATCTAGCAATATTTAGTTCAGAGCCCTGTTCTTGTAGTTATTGCTTATTTTAATCAAATTCTAATTTAAAATTCCCACTCTAACTACAAAGAACAAAAAAGAAATTACGTTTTTCACTATCGAGAGTCTTAGGTACTCGGAAGCTTACACAGGTCTTTATTCTTACCCAGCTCCTTGATTTCAAGGATTGCTGATATGTAAGTTTCCAGTACTTTCCACCGAGCAGAACACTTAGACAATCAACAAGTCAATTAGATAATGTTTTTATTTTATGCATTCTGCCAGTCATATTATTTGTTTGCTGCTTATGGTGGTTAATTATTTTATTGTTTTTCTTATATATTGTAAGGAGCCAAAATGTGCTAGTGTTTCAAGAATTTGATAGTTGCATAATACTTGGGACTCTTAGGAAACAGCTGAACCAATTGCTGCACTTCTGAGACAGCCCTTTTATTTTATCTTGACCTGCTTATTCGGCACGGTGTTATTGGTTATATAAATAGCAAATTTTCTCTTTGATTTTGTTCAAGAAAGAAGAGCGCTATCCATGAATTACAACTGATTATTGATTTCGGACTCCCAGGTGGAAGAACAGAAATGCATCATCAGTGCTCGTGTTGAACTCCTACGAAAGGAAACACAAGATTTCTCAGGAGCTGCAGATGCCATTGAGAAGCAATACTGTGATCCAATGATCCACGATTAGCCGGTTACCAACATAGTATGATATTCAGTGTTGCACTCATGGGCCTGGGCATAAATGTTTGGTTAAATCAGCAGTCATATTATGTGTACTCATCATCTTGATGGAACAATTTTTACTGTACTTTTTCAGAGAGCAGGAAAGGTTCCAATTTTTGTGGTTTTCATCCTTGTTTATTAACCTTTTCTCTTCCCTTTTAGTTTGTTACTTGTGAGTAGACTTCGAGCACCATTCGTAAAAGTGAGAAAAATTGTTGACTAGTGATGAAATCCTTGATGCAGTGTTTGAGTTGAGTTCAAAGTTAACCTTGCTGAGTTCTGAATCCAGCACCTTGGTAACTAAGTTGGAATATACCTAATGCTGCCCCAAGGTTTGGCTTGCCAACCTATGTGTGGAGGAGAATTTACTTTTAATTAATTTGCAAACAAGAAACATGTTGAACAATGTAATTAAAAATAGGGAAAATCTAAGTTACATCCTTTCTAGTTTACTATATTTTCAAGGGTATTTCTTCTATTTTTATTGACACCTCCGGTCAAATTAATGGTGTTAACTACATTAATGATGTTAACTAGAATGTAATTTTATTAAATTTACACCCCCTTTAGATAGAAATATTTTCAATGAGATCATTGCTATTTTTTGAATTTTTTTACGTATTAAAATTTAGACTAATTAAAATTTGATTTGAGCTAATTAAAATTCATTTTTTGTGTATTAAAATTTCAATCGATTAAAAATTAAAAATTTTAATTATTAAAATTTGAGTTGATTAAAATTTATTTTTAACTGACTCGATCTAAATTTTAATCAATCCAAATTTTGATATATATATATATATCAGTTTTAATTGATTCAAATTTTAATGCTTAAAAAATAAATTTTAATCAATTTGAATTGAATTTTAGTTGACCAGGATTTTAATATGTAAAAAAATATAAATTTTAGTCGACTTAAATTTTAATATATAGAAAAATGAATTTTAATATATAAAAAAATAAATTTTAATTAGCTCGAATTTTAATCTAATTTTATGTAAAGATTGTTTTGGGTTTAGGTAGGGGCAATTTTCATATTTTAGACTAATTTTTTTTGTTAAAAATAGTGGTTTAATGACAAGGGGTGTTAGTGATGTTTAAATATAAACTAGAAGATGTGTCAATAATGTTTTAGATAGTAAACGGGTCTTATTGAAGATATGTCTATCTAGAGGAGATATGAATAATAATTACCCTTAAAAATATAACCCTAGTCAGTTTGTATTTGGTTCTTGGTGGTTTAATGGTAGGAGTGTCAGTGATGTTTAAATATAAACTAAAAAGTGTCATTGATATTTGAATATAAATTAAAGGGTTAATCTCATTTTGTACCCTAAAAGATTGTTCAAATCTCAATTTGTACCTTCAAAGATAAAAAATCTTAATTTGCACCCTCAAAGATAGAAATTTGTATCAATGTGCACCTAAAATTAAATTGATAAATTATACCTAGATCCCCTCATGTTTGTCACTTAATCATTTGAACTCCTTCACATTTAGAATATTCCCCTTACATCTCATGACGTTTGTGCATGTATAACACATAACCACTTTTCGTTGATATCTATTAATATAATCGTTAAAAAATATGATTTTATCCTAATAAAAAATTATAATTTCATTTACTTTTTATTTTGTGGATTCGATATACTCTAAAGTTGAAAATCAATCTTACCATTTGAATGTCTAATAAAATGTAGATATTTATATAAAAGGTAATATGAAAAACATTATATAAATATTTACATTTTATTAGACATTCAAATGGTAAACTAGATTTTGAACTTTATAATATATTGAACCCATAAAATAAAGGGTAATATGAAATTATAATTTTTTATTAGGATAAAATTATATTTTTTAACGGTTATATTAATAGATATCAATGAAAATGAGTTATGTGTTATACGTGCACAAATGTCATAAGAT